CTAAGATCCCTCCCAATTTACTCTCCAACTCATAAAACATTTTAGAAAAAGGCTCAGTGTCGTTATCCTCGCATGGTGAGGTATTGAAAGCACAGTAGGTTGGTGGCACTTTAATTGGGGAGGACGGGCTCGTGGTAATGGCAAGGAGCGCAATTAGTGGAATAGTATCAAATACATCAAACACATGTAGTTTGATGCCATTCCATTTGCGCCGCTCCAGCCATTATTATGAGACCTACCTTTTTGAGAGAAAATAAAATATTACTTGTTTTAAAAATAATCTCTTTCTCTGAGCAATTGTATTAGTATAAAATAATATAATTTCCCTTTTTTTTGCATACAATATTGTTCCGTATTTGAATTACTTATTCTATACATTAATTTTGATCATCTTTATCAAGAGTGTAAATAATTCCGGACCCCACTGTATATTGCAGTTGGAGATAGACATCATGTCTTAGCGAAAAATGGGCAAAAGAATGACAGCAGATACCTCAGCTAGACAGAGTGCCCAATCGGGGATGTGAGAGAGATAGAAAGAGGGAGAGAGAGAAAAGTGAAGAGTGTGAGAGACGGAGGAGAACATGGAGAGCCCACTATGATGTGAAGAATGGGAGCCATTTTGAAGTTTCATACCTGCTTCAGGGAAGCGTTGAGCTGAGCTGGAAAATATAAATTTATTTTGGGGCTGGCTGGGTGTTTTCTTTCGTTTTTGATTCTCGTCCCCCATGTTTTTGACAGGGAGCTCAGAATCACTGAGCTGTTGTCTTCTTATTTTATACCGAACAGTGGGACAGTACAAACACATCACACATGCACACACACATGCACACACACACACACGCACACACACACACACACAAATAAAATAGTGATGGAGAGAGTAGCCTAGCTGTGCACTTAAAAATTACAGGTTCATCTGTCACGTTGACACTTTTTGCTGTAGAGACACTATATCCACAAAAACAATTGGATGGCAATCTTCTCTGACACAAAAAGGGGAACCCTACCAAACTGCTCCTGACTGACTGACTCTCCGGCCAGCTTTAATGCATGCAAATAACAGACAGCAGTTGACACAGGCAGATTTAGTACGCTTTGCACATTCTTAGGTCACAGGAAGGGGAGGGTAATTCATCGCCATTATTCCGTCCTCCGGATCCCTAATCATGCCTCTAGTGTTACCCTCTCTGACTTGGTAATTTGGGAGGAATAAGCCGGAGCATTGTTTTTATCAGGGGCTTTTTCTGACTGAGACATTTCTTTTCTGACAAGCCCTTGCTAGCAGAGGGAGAGGAGAGATGTGGGGAGGGTGGGGCTGTGGCTGGTGCATGTGTTGACACTGGTATTATGAAATGACAGAAAATGGCTCTAGTTTAACCACATCTACTCTTCACCCCTTCATGCTCCCCCTCCTTCAACCTACCGCCACTGCTGCTAGCCTAATATGCATCATCCCATAGAAAAGCTCACAGTAGTTCTCTTTAGGACTTTCTTTTGAAGTTTTGGAGGCTTTGGTATGGCGGCTGGTTAATTGGATGAATCACTGATAGAGATGTGATTGGGTGGGTGGGGTAATATCTATATGAGTAATATCTATATGCCCGCGTGCTGGAGGGAGATGACAGAGTTGGGTGCAAGGGGTCAGTGGGGTGTGGGGTAGTTACTGTGCCCCTTCTCTGACCATGGGAACTCCTAGTGGTGGTTGTAACAGTGAATGTTTTTACAAGTGTCCAGGGGGAGTTCCCTGACAAGTGGGTGGCCCATTACAAGGGGGCGTTCCCTGACAAAACCCCTTCTTTCTTCTCATTGGCACCTGTCTTTGCCCCTTACTTCTTCTTAATGGCTCTATGGTAGACTATGCCGCCAAGACAGACAGACCCTTCTCACGAGAGTTTGACTTTGCTTGTCGTGCGTAATAAGGAAATGAACATGAATCAGATGGAGCTCGTGTACATGGTCTTCACTATTTACCACAGCCCCAAAGTAATAATTATGGCTAAACCCCGCTTTGCTCGTGTCAGCGAAACTAAACGTAATTCTAATATGAGCTGTTATTGACTGATCTACCGTAATGTTGTCCGTGTGTTGTTTATTTTTTGTGTGATTTGTAAACAAAGATGGGGGTATGAGAATTGCTGCCAGCTACTGGATGCATGAAATATTATTGATTTTCCCTTATAATACGGTACATTACATTATATTATTCATTACCATCAGCTCCTGTAATCTATACACTGAGTGTACAAAGCATTAAGGTCACTTGCTCTTTCCATGACATAGACTGACCAGATGAATCCAGGTGAAAGCTATCATCCCTTATTGATGTCACTTGTTGGATGAAAAAAAAAAAAATGTATGCACTCACTAACTGTAAGTTGCTCTGGGTAAGAGGGTCTGCGAAATGACTACAAATGTTTTAAGAAACTTGTTAAATCCACTTCAGTCAGTGTAGATGAAGGGAAGAAGAGAGGTTAAAGAAGGATTTTTAAGCTTTGAGACAATTGAGACATGGATTGTGTATGTGTACCATTCAGAGGGTGAATGGGCAAGACAAAATATTTAATTGCCTTTAAATGGGGTATGGTAGTTGATGCCAGGCACACTGGTTTGTGTCAAGAACTGCAACGCTGCTGGTATTTTCACGCTCAACAGTTGTCCATGTGTAACGAGAATGGTCCACCACCCAAAGGACATCCAGCCAACTTGACACAACTGTGGGAAACATTGGAGTCACCATGGGCCAGCATCCCTGTTGAATGCCTTCCACAGCTTGTAGAGTCCATGCCGTGACAAATTGAAGGTGTCCTTAATGTTTTGTACACTCAGTGTACTAGCAATGGTTGAAGGGGGGAAGAGATATTGACTATATCCCAATGTTACAGTGGCTTGCAAAACCAGATTTTTGGGGGGTTTGTATCATTTCTTTTACACAACATGCCTACCTCTTTGAAGATGCAAAATAGTTTTTTAATGTGAAACAAACAAGAAATAAGAAGAAAAAAAAGGAAACTTGAGCGTGCATAACTATTCCCCCCCCAAAAGTCAATAATTTGTAGAGCCACCTTTTGCAGCAATTACAGCTACAAGTCTCTTGGGGTATGTCTCTATAATATGACTCTGCACCGGTACCCCCCTGTATATATAGGCTCCCTACTGTTATTTTATTTTACTTCTGCTCTTTTTTTCTCAACACTTTTTTTGTTGTTTTATTCTACTTTTTTATTAAAAATAAATGCACTGTTGGTTAAGGGCTGTAAGTAAGCATTTCACTGTAATGTCTGCACCTGTTGTATTCGGCGCATGTGGCCAATACAATTTGATTTGATTTGATTTGATATAAGCTTAGCACATAAGAATTTCCCTGTATTTAGAGCCATCCATCATTCCTTCATTTCTGACCAGTTTCCCAGTCCCTGCCAATGAAAAACATCCCCACAGCATGATGCTGCCGCCACCATGCTTCACTGTGGGGATGGTGTTCTTGGGGTGATGAGAGCTGTTGGGTTTGTGCCAGACATAGCGTTTTCCTTGATGGCCAAAAAGCTCAATTTTAGTCTCATCTAACCAGAGTACCTTCTTCCATATGCTTGGGGAGTCTCCCACATGCCTTTTTGGCGAACACCAAATGTGTTTGCTTATTTTTGTCTTCAAGCAATGGCTTTTTTCTGGCCACTCTTCCATAAAGCCCAGCTCTGTGCAGTGTACGGCTTAAAGTGGTCCTATGGACAGATACTGTGGAGCTTTGCAGCTCCTTCAGGGTTATCTTTGGTCTCTTTGTTGCCTCTCTGATTAATGCCCTCATTGCCTGGTCTGTGAGTTTTGGTGGGCAGCCCTCTCTTGGCAGGTTTGTTGTGGTGCCATATTCTTTCCATTTTTAACAATGGATTTAAAGGTGCTCAATTGGATGTTCAAAGTTTCAGATATTTTTTTATAACCCAACCCTGATCTGTACTTCTCCACAACTTTGTCCCTGACCTGTTTGGAGAGCTCCTTGGTCTTCATGGTGCCGCTTGCTTGGTGGTGCCCCTTGCTTAGTGGTGTTGCAGACTCTGGGGCCTTTTAGAACAGGTGTATATATACTGAGATCATGTGACAGATCCTGTGACACTTAGATTGCACAACGTGGGACTTTATTTAACTAATTATGTGACTTCTGAAGGTAATTGGTTGCACCAGATCTTATTTAGGGGCTTCATAGCAAAGGGGGTGAATACATATGCACGCACTACTTTTCCGTTATAAATTTTGTAATTTGTAATTTTTTTAGTTATTTTTTTCATTTCACTTCACCAATTTGGACTATTTTGTGTATGTCCATTACATTAAATCCAAATAAAAATTCATTTAAATTACAGATTGTAATGCAACAAAATAGGAAAACTCCAAGTCAAAGTGTCAACTACTGTGTGGTGACAAAGTTCAACAGATCTGACTGTGTTTGTGACGTTTCTATTATTATTATTATTATTATTGTTATTATTATTGTTATTATTATTATTATTATTATTATTATTATTATTATTATTATTATTATTATTATTATTATTATTATGTTTCGAGAGGGAGAGAACTTCACATTTAATATACCAGATTACATTGTACTTCTCAAACACACCCAAATGTATAAAAAAACCTATAGCTGCAAACATGCATTTTTTTTTATCTTCAGATCAGCCAGTTCAACAGAACGACATCAGATCTGATCATGTGATGAAACAATCCAATATTGTGATTTATTTTATTTGTGTATTGCTCCAATACCCTTACCAAAAGAACAATGCTTTTTTGTTGATATCCCTCCCCCACACCGCCCTGATAAAGTCCCCCTGATTAAAGGGACTTTTATCAGGGACTTTTATGAGGGCCCCATGGAAGGCCAAAGCGCTAGATATAGAGCATTGACCGTCACAGTGTGTTTGACCTGACATGATACAAAGAGGTATTTGACTGATTGCATACTCCTGTCCAGTGGCTGTTTGTCAACCTGCCAGTCTGAGTCACCACTTCATGATGGAGATGTAGGTGAAGAGGAGCAAGATTACAAAGGAGTCATCCATGAAGCCTAGCAGGCCGAACAGGGCCTTGGGGATGAAGTCCAGCGGAGAGGCCAGGTAGATAAGCGCCCCACCAGACACAGGATACGTCCAGAAGAGGCCACCCACGGAGAACATCTCCCTGAAGGCATGGCGCAGCAGTGTGGGGACGTCCCGCAGGGCGATCCATGAGAGATCTGGGCTGGCCTGAGACCCACCGGTTGTAGTTGCTGAGATCCCGCAAGATGAGTATCCACTCAGCCTGCCCATCCTGGACCTACTGCAGTGAGCTGTGGTCTTGAAAGAGCAGGAAAAGCAATGTAACCATTTCTCCACAGATGGGACAGTTAATAGCACCAAGCCAAATCTCAGACCGCCAATACACAATTATACCGGAACAACTGAAGCCTGGGCTCAGCTGGGTTTTTCCTGCTCTGACTGAAGCTACTCCCAAACAGCACACACATGCTCCTGGTTCTCTGGGTGGATGTTTTGTTGATCATCTCTGCAGAGCATTCTTAGAAGTCCAATAGTTTTCATCCATTACACCCACTCATATCCTGCACTACCTATCCACTACACAAACATGCAACATGGGCCTGATGGGTTTGTCCGAGTAGAATCCCCTTAAGTGTCCCCTTCTCCCAGTCCCCACGTAACCTGCTTGAGACAAAATAAGCACCGGTTTAATAAATGTCAATCTTTCCGCTTCAGTTTAATAACATTGAACCTAATAGAGATTTATTAAATATCAATTGAAAGAAATTATGTTACAATTGTGTCATATTTCAATATTGTGTTGAAACGTTCAGACAGTGGGGAAAACTGTGCAGGTTAGAAGAGCGCAGCTTCCCCCACGGATCCGTTTCTGGGATGAAGGGGAAAGCTAAATAATTAATCACATTACATTTCATAATGGTCGGAGCAAGTTTGGCATGGCGCTTGGAATGCCAGGGTTGTGGGTTCGATTCCCACTGGGGACCAGTACGAAAATGTATGCACTCACTACTGTAAGTCGCTCTGGATAAGAGCATCTGCTAAATGACTAAAATGTCAAATGTAAATATAACAATTTTCGTGTCAGTATTACTGCTCCCAACTTACATACTCTGGTACAGTTGAAAAGGAGGTGAGGAGATATGATGCAAGGAATCGAGAAATGAATAATTAAGATTGCATGTCCTCTCTCTCCCTATGGTACAATTACAGTGGCTTGCGAAAGTATTCACCCCCCTTGGCATTTTTCCTATTTTGTTTCCTTATTTTGGGGGGGTTTGTATCATTTGATTTACACAACATGTCTACCACTTTAAAAATACAAAATATTTTTTATTGTGAAACAAACAAGAAATAAGACTAATAAACAGAAAACTTGAGCGTGAACAACTATTCACCCTCCCAAAGTCAATACTTTGTACAGCAACGTTTTGTAGCTAGTACAGCTGCAAGTCTCTTAGGGTATGCATCTATAAGCTTGGCACATCTAGCCACTGGGATTTTTGCCCATTCTTCAAGGCAAAACTGCTCCAGCTCCTTCAAGTTGGATGGGTTCCGCTGGTGTACAGCAATCTTTAAGTCATACCACAGATTCTCAATTGAATTGTGGTCTGGGCTTTGACTAGGCCATTCCAAGACATTTAAATGTTTCCCATTAAACCACTAAAGTGTTGCTTTAGCAGTATTCTTAGGGTCATTGTCCTGCTGGAAGGTGAACCTCCGTCCCAGTCTCAAATCTCTGGAAGACTGAAACGGGTTTCCATCAATAATTTCCCTGCATTTAGCACCATCCACCATTCCTTCAATTCTGACCAGTTTCCCAGTCCCTGCCAATGAAAAACATATCCACAGCATGATGCTGGCACCACCATGCTTCACTGTGGAGATGGTGTTCTCGGGGTAATGAGAGGTGTTGGGTTTGCGCCAGACATAGCGTTTTCCTTGATGGCCAAAAAGCTCAATTTTTGTCTCATCTGACCAGAGTACCTTCTTCCATATGATTGGGGAGTCTCCCACATGCCTTTTGGCGAACAACAAACGTGTTTGCTTATTTTTTTCTTCAAGCAATGGCTTTTTTCTGGACACTCTTCCGTAAAGCCCATCTCTGTGGAGTGTACGGCTTAAAGTGGTCCTATGGACAGATACTCCAATCTCCGCTGTGGAGCTTTGCAGCTCCTTCAGGGTTATCTTTGGTCTCTTTGTTGCCTCTCTGATTAATGCCCTCCTTGCCTGGTCCGTGAGTTTTGGTGGGCGGCCCTCTCTTGGCAGGTTTGTTGTGGTGCTATATTCTTTCCATTTTTTAATGGTGCTCCTTGGGATGTTCAAAGTGTTGATGTTTTTTATAACCCAACCCTGATCTGTACTTCTCCACAACTTTGTCCCTGACCTGTTTGGAGAGCTCCTTGGTCTTCATGGTGCCACTTGCTTGGTGGTGCCCCTTGCTTAGTGGTGTTGCAGACTCTGGGGCCTTTCAGAAAAGGTGTATATTTACTGAGATCATGTGACACTTAGATTGCACAAAGGTGGACTTTATTGAAGTAATTATGTGACTTCTGAAGGTAATTGGTTGCACCAGATCTTATTTAGGGGCTTCATAGCATCATTTCACTTCACCAATTTTGACTATTGGGTGTATGTCCATTACATGAAATCCAAATAAAAATCCATTTCAATTACAGGTTGTAATGCAACAAAATAGGAAAAACGCCAATGAATACTTTTGCAAGGAAGGCACTGTACCTCTCCTTTCCCCTTCCTTACCTGGTGTTGAGGTAATGCAGGGTTCTGAATTCTCCTCCCAGGCTCACTGTGAATACAATGAGAATGAAAATGTGGGAAACATACAGTAGATGATTATGCACATAGTAACTATAGTACATCTAGCTAGTTCTTTGGGCCAGCTAAATACAATTAATGCATGGATCACACCCAAACAAACTTAAGTAGCTACTGTATTTAAATTCTCTTTCATTTTAATGTATTTTTACAACAGGTGAGTTGAGGTTCAATTGCAAATGTAGGCAACTGCTTTTTGGGTGATGCACAAACAGATTGTTTCGTTGAGCCTGTGTAACACGTCTCAGGTATGGGACACCATGAAATAGGATACATATATATCTGATAAACATATCTGATAAACATTAATTTGAATTAAAAACATTCACAATTACATGAACGTCTTTCTCAATGACATATAGCTCTCAGCTATTCATGAACTTAGTGATAACACAAATATATGGTCTGGTGGTGGTGAACAAAACCACTACAATACCACGCTTGTATTACATAGGCTACAACTCTCTCTTTATACAGGCTACTAGTAAAACAAATTATAGAAGAGGCATACATATTAATCTAACAAAAACCCACAGACCAGCTAACACAGGAGCTAAAAATAGTTAGGGCGAATTGGGCAGGCTAGTGCTAAGCTAGCTAGCGGTTAGCATTCGACATTCAACTACGAACTTCATAAAATATAACTGGTTAAATTACATATAATTGGCGTGTCTCATATGTATACATGAAAATACAAATAATGTGAGCCTTAATTCGTGCAATTAAAACCATTAGGGCAAAAAACATGTATTATACTAATAGATTCTGCTACAGAGGCAGTTGGTATGAAATGACTTTCGAGATATTAATTATGAAAGTCATTTATTTTTATTATTTTTTGCACCTGCCACGTGAAAGGTCTGTGCATGGCCCTGCCTACTGGTGACACTAATAAACATCATCGTCAATATTTTATCTGAAAAAAATAAGTGATGGCTAAATGCTTTAGAAACGCAGCCAACATCTGACCAACAACCTTGAGCATGGATAGAAGTATATCTTCGCAAAGACTATGATCGTCATTGAAGTGTTAAAATATCAAAAGTCACCAACACTTCTATACTTTGCAGATTAAGTTGTATGTTACCCACAAGGTCCCATTGTTCCTTGAGATGTGGGCAGCGTTCCATATGAAAAAACAGTGCACAAAGTTCAAACAATATTTTTCTGAACAACCAATTGGAAGACGGGGAGAGGTTTAGGGTTGTTATGGTGACCGTATTATCGCCACACCGGTGGTCACAAGTCATGATGGCAGTCAAATTCCATGTGACATTTTAGTCACAGTAATTAGGCTTCTCCAAGCTCTGATGCTGCTGATGGTCATTAGTAGCCTACCAAACTTGCTAACTGCCTGGTACTCCACACTCTATTGTCCCTCTAATCACTCTGACATAAATGCAAATGTAATCGAAAATCTAATCAAACACTTCAGGAGAGCCCATGAGCTCATGTTATGCAACATTTCTATAGGCTATGCAATTGCGTGAGAAAACAGAGTGATGGTTTCACGACTTCCTCCGAGGCTGCCTCCTCTCCTTGTTCGGGCAGGCTTCGGCGTTCGTCGTCACCGGCCTTCTAGCCACTACCGCTCCTTATCTCATCATTCCATTTGTTTTGTCTTGTTTATTACACACATCGGGTTCATATCCCCTCATCAGTACATGTATAAGTGTTCCCTCTGCCCCCTTGTCTTTGTGTGTGATTGTTTATTGTGGAGGAGAGAGAAGCTCGGTGGAACTCCGTGTATTTTGTATTGCTGGGAATATTCCCCGTGTGCCTTGTATTTTCCAGTGCACCTGTTTTGCATAACTCTGTGGTTCAGAATAAATCCTGTTATTCTGTGATTTACCCTCCTGCACCTGACTCCTTCAAAATCACCTCATCACAGATGGCCTCTATTAAAAAGAGGAGGATCCCATCATCTTTCTATAGGCTAGGCCTACTATATTTATTTCTCAAACGTCCTAATGTTAAGCACATTGCTTCTCTTTAAAACAGGAGTATAGCCTACCTGGCTGGCATGAAATGAACCATGAGAAAAGCGTCCTCCATTCGCTATTTAACTGCATAGATTACATGTTTGTTTTTTCTGCAGCCCCTGTTTTGAGACAGTGGTCCATTCTAAATCAAAACAAATTTCACACATATATTATTTTGTATACGTAAAGACAAGATTAAATCAAGAATAGTGTGATCGTGACAATATTAGCCTGTCACTTCTGAATGACGTATTATCACATTTGAATGATGCCCAGTTTAAGGCAAACAGCGCATGCATTTCTTGTGCTACTTTTTCAAATCATAATCGCACACCTCATGTAGCCTAGCCCATAGGCCTACAGTGTATATGTTTTGATAAGGTTGTATCACAACTAAAGTGGCCAAATAACTTCTTAAAATGAAGCACAATAATCCGCTTTACAATTGGTGTAGAG